TTATTACACTGCTCCAAAGGCTGGTCCTCAGTCTTATCTCTCCTCTTCCTAGGGGCAGGAGAGCAGGACTTCTTGATCTAGCAAACCAAAGTGAGTTTAAAGAGAGGATTGCCCTCTTAGTAGGTGCATGTGCAGTGCCACATGTTTTTGGTTTGTCCTGCTCCATGTGTTTTGTAGCTAGATTGTGCTGAAAGCCTCATGCGAAACTTCAGGGTTGGAAAAGAAGTGCTAAGTGATGGACACCAGGGGCTGCTCCAGGGCCAGCTGCCTTCTGGAGCTGTTTGCTGGCAGGGACCTGCTCTGGGTCACTGCCTCCACAAGCTTGGAAGGAAGACCCTAGCAGATGTGAAGAATATGGAGAAGTGCTGTCTTCATCTGAGAAGCAGCCCCTTGGGCAGTAAAGCTGAACCAGATGGTTGCCTTTGGCTTCACTTTGGGAATCCACAGCTGAAGGCATCACTATAATTTCCTAAGTTCCCTGATCTCCTGTGAAAATTAGGGACTGAGCTTCTACTTGTGCTTCTGAAAGAGTCCTCCTCCAGAAAACCCTGAACTACCCCATGGCAAGGGTTAAAAGCATGTCATCTTTTTCTTGGTACCAGAAAGTACCAGCAAGTCCTTGTTTTGGGAAATTTCACCCAAATTCTCACTGAATGTTGATTAGCGGCACCACAGTGTTGTCAACAGTTCTTCATCTGGTGGCAACATGGGGTTTCTTGATGAAACCAAACTTAATTAATGGCAACAGTCATGAAAACAAGCTACAGCTGGACTTAACAGCTGTATTTAGTTTTAGAACCATGTACAGGAGCATTTAGTAATGGATAAACAGAAGGATATATAAATGGCATGGAAATTAGTAGCTCATAACTTTCCCAAAGAGGATCCATCCCTACTGAAAGCTTTCCCAAGTAGCTATGAAAACACAATTTTCCTTTTCCAATACCTGGTCATTAAACTTTCTGAGGGTGTGACTAAATTCTCTCATGAAGTGACCTCTGCAAGACTGCCTATGTAGTGTAACACCAGGCTCATTTCATCCTGCTGGTGTGGGGCACCTGCAGTGTAGAAGATGCTCAGTTAGGATGGCATTACTGGAATAACCCGGGGAAGGGGCTGGAGCTGCTTCACAGCCTCTGAGATGCAGCACTGTGAGGTAAGGCAGGCATGGGCAATCTCCCCCCTGCATCCACCAGTCCATGTTGTAATTTGATTTCTGTATCACTGTCCCCTTCTAACTTGCTTAGAACTAAGTTCTAAATTGATTTTTGAGCTCTGAGAATGTGTCTTGAGACTTCTTTCTATAATCTCAATCCATAGGCTCATGTGATTCCTACCAGCTCTAAAACAGGAAAGGCAGAAGAGACCAGTGTTACTAGTTCAGATGTGAATCCAGCCTCAAACATATGACATCCCAGATCTCCCAAAACCAGTTAGGTTAGGAATTAGGTTCCAGCAGGAAAAAATAGCTCAGAAAACTGGAAGAACTTTTATTAGCTGACTTTCTCAGATAACCATTTATCTCCAGAAGCTGGAGCTTTAAATAAAGCATCAACTACTGTGAGAAACCTGATGCAATTGCAAGATTTGCCAATATCAAGGATACAAAAAAGTTCTGAACAATGTGAAATTATGAAGATTAAACACTAGATGGAGTAGTTGGACTGGAATGAAACTGAGATTTGTAAAACAACTCTAGTAACAGTCACTGTAAATATTTTGAAATCAAGGGCTTAGTAGCAAGGCACAGCATATGAGAACACATTTCTCCAGGAGTGCCAGTTCAGGGAGTTGGATGTACGCTGCCGAATTCTTGCTCTGAAAACAGTCACCAGAAGGGTTCTCCCTTCAGCTTCTTCTGTTGTAAGGTCCTGGAGCCTTGGCAAAAAGAGGTAACAGGTTGGCTCTGCACATTGTTGAGTGGCAGATATCCCTCAAATAAATAACAAAGCTGCTTGACACTCTGCATGAAGACATCCTGCTTATCTCAGGTGTAAGAAAGGAGGTCACTCTCTCCATGAGCTACTTCCTACCTGTCTTCCTTTTCCCCCCTTTTTCCCACTGTCTTAGGTTACGGTCATAGTTTGAGAGACATTAGTGGTCCTGCTGCCGCAAGCATACCTTGTGCCTGCCCTGCAGCTTATCTCTTTATTTCCAGTCTCTGCATCATTCCCTTAATTTTGTGGTCATTGCTGCCTGTGCAACTGCTCACTGAGCCAGGTTAGAGAGCTGGTACAGAGGAGAAGTCATCTGGTTAAAAACAAAAAAGGGATACAGGTATCTTCAGTCTGGAGAAGAGAAGGTGCTGGGGTGAACTTATTGTGGCCTTTCAGTACTTAAAGGGGGCCTATAAGAAAGATGGGGACAGACCGTTTAGCAAGGCCTTTTGCGATGGGATATGGAATGAAGTTTGAAACTAAAAGAGGGTAGATTCAGACTAGACATAAGGAAGACACTTTTTACCATGAGGAGGGTGAGATGCCAGCATGGTTTGCCCAGAGAGGTGGTGGATGCCTCACCCCTGGAAAGATTCAAGGCCAGCTTGAATAGGGCTCTGAGCAGTCTGATGTAGCTGAAGATATCCTTGCTCATTGCAGAGGGGTTGGACTAGATGTCCTTTAAATGTCCCTTCCAACCCAAACTATTCTATGGGTCTGTGATTCTATGATCTCTCAAACAGCTCTGCTGTCTCTGGGGGAGGGATGTTGAGGCAGGGATGAACAATTGTGGGTGGAGGAGGGAAGGAGGGAATAACACTCACTGAAGAGAGGTCCATGTTATCACAGCTCTGCAAGATGTAGAAAGCCTAGTCAGAGCTTAGGACCCCATTTCACTGTGAATCTACACAGAGACAGAATACAACACCCCTACACATCAGTGCAAAGTGAAAGTAAAGCAACACCTCAGTGTGCCTGTGACGAGCCTTTGGCAGGCAGAGGTTTTGCAACCACTCTCCACCTCTCTGGGTGTCTGTGCAGAGCAGCTAAATGCCCCAAGCTCCAGGTGCCAGACCATGCCGAAGCACTGCTCCACACAGCACGACCATGGCGGAGGGGCCGGCAGCCCCCTGCGCCTGCTCTCTGTCAGAAACTCCCAGTGCCTCAACAAGCAGCGGGTACAATGTGCAGTCTGTTTGTGAAATGGGGCTTTGGAGGCCTTAAAAAAATTGTCCTCGGGGCCAAGGACAGTGGCGGCCATTCTCCCTCCCAGGCGGCCCCTTGAGGAGGGATTCACCCCCATCATCTCTCTAGGGCAGCGGTTGGTGAATGCGCTTTTGACCTTTTCAACTTATTGTATTGGTATCTAGCCAAACAATTTAAGTTCATCTGTAGCGTGCAATGCTCAGGAAACAGAGGAATTACATGCATGTTTCCTACCAAGGAATAAACTGCCTTTTGTGGTGGAATAAATGAGGCATTTGCCGCTGATGGCCAGATGCCCTCCTGCGCTGTGCAAGCACTGAGAGGAGCGAAGAAAACCTTAAAGGATTTGAGAGGCTCAAAAAGAGGGACGTAGAGATAAAAAAGGTTCCCTCTTTCTTCCTTGTAGGTCACAAGTAGATCCTCACAGTGTTACTTCACAGATGAAATCCTGACCTCTCTGCAGCAGGGGGTTGACATTGACACCACCAGGGCCATCACTTCACCCCATGTAGTTTGGGGTGTTCTTTAGCTTGAAAGAAGCAAAACAAAAGCTTCTCCAGGGCTGCTGAGCACCATGTGTCACCTCTTCTGACTCTTCTGTGGTAATGATTCTATGATTCTGTGATCTTCAGGCCCAGATTTCCTCCAGGGATATGTATATTCCTCTCGGGGGACAGAAGCCCAGGCCTGACCCTGTCATTCCGTGTCTTCAGCTTCAGTGTGAGATTGACAGGATGGTTGGTTGGCAAAGTGAGTGCCCACTGAAACCTGTTTAAAAGGTTTTTCTCAAAAAAAAAAAAAGAAAAGTGCAATATTTTTGTATTCAAATTACAGTGCTCAGGAAAACATTTGAGTTCAGCTAAACTGAGGTAGATTGTCCCACACTTTTGCTTAAGTGACTGGAAAAATAGGATTTTTAGCTACTTATTGCTCACACAGCAGCATGGTGGCTTGTCTGAGTTTAGGTTCCCATTGTCTATAGTCATCAAGACTATACTTGCCAATGAACTCTTTCTTCAGAGCTGGAGGACACTGCTGATGGTCAGACAGAATTCCAATTTCCAAGCTAAAGAAAATATTTTCTGTGATTAGATCCTGGAGCAGTACCAGAGATACTGAGGAGTCTCAAAACTTGACTGGACACAGCCCTGAGCAATCTGCTCTAGCAGAACCTGCCTGAGCAATCTGTAGGACTAGCTGATCTCCAGAGGTCCCATCCAACCTCAGCAACTCTGTGATTCTGTGATTTAAAACACCTATGTTTTTATTTGCACAAATGTCGGCTGCCTTTTTTTTTGGTGCAGATCCATGTTTCCCGTTGGATCCCTACCCAACAGCTGCTCACAGCCCTGGAAATTGTGCAGGTGGCTTTGCAGGTGACTGTGCAGTGGTTTGGCAGAAGCTTATCTCACAGGGTGCACAGCTGCTTGCTTTTCCAGTCTTCTTTCAAGATGCTCCTAAATACAGCATTTAGTTTCTCACGAGAGGGTACTCTACAGGTGGAATGCCTGCTTCCTGTGTTGATCCTTGGGAAATGTCCTTGTCGACACAGACAGGCTCTCATTATGTACTTGAGGTACTGGAGTCACCATTTACAATACAAAGCCTGTTTACAGCTTGTATCCTGCTTCCACCTTCTTCTAACCTTTATGAGGGTGAATCCCACATTTCATTCTTCCTTTTTGTCTCTCTCTCTGTTGTGAAAATCTTCAGTTCAGTAGCCCCAAGAGGTAAGTGTCTACTTTTGAATTATTTGGATTGTATAGTATGGTTTGTTGACTGACACGTGTTTATCTAGCCTTTATGTCATATTCCTCCTCCCAAATCCTGTGGCAATAAAATTTCTTTTTCTCATAGGAAAAAGGTATAAACTTGACCCATATTGAGTCCCGACCTTCCCGTCTCAATAAAGATGAGTATGAGTTCTTCATTAACTTGGAAGGCAAGAATATCCCAGCACTGGATAAGATCATCAAGTCCTTGAGAAGTGATATTGGAGCAACAGTCCATGAGCTTTCACGAACAAAGAAGAAGGACACTGGTAAGGATACACTGACAAGGTTAACACTGACAAGGAATATTTGTGTCACATACTGAAATTACTTATTTTTCCCATAGTAAAGGAGATCCTCTTGGATCTTAGTGGCTACATTTCCCTGTCTCTGCCTATTCTGCCTGTGCTGTAAGCTTTTTCATTTGGAGATTTTCTGTCAGTGTAAACTGCCATGCTTCATCTTTTGCCATGCTTCTGACTAGGTCTCCTGGGAAACCGGGGAGACTCTGCCACCCACTTTAGTGTGAGCAGGGCTAACTCTCTACTACTGTAAGAAATCCCAGGGTGGTCAGTTGCAATTCTGCTCTTGGAGGGAAATAAGGAAAATTTTGTGAGTTGTTCATGCTCCTAATTCTCAGAGATTTGCTAGAGTTGAGGCTGCCTGGTAAGGTGGTGGCTGCCCAGCAGCTAGTCCGAGACATACTTAAACGCCTCTTCAGATAACAGATGTGATTTTAATAGGATTTCAGACTTTAAATACTTTAGGTTTGGATCTTCCTCTTCCTTCCTAGGAACAACATGAAAGGACTTTAATACCTTCTTGAGATCAGTGCTGGTAATCCTTTTACCACTTCCTTTGTGTCTTAGCCATGACATTACATTTGAAGATGAAAAAGAAGAAGTCAGATACTCTTTGGAGTCAATTCTCTCCATTCATGAGATGAAGGGACAAAAGGTTGATTAGGTGATTTATGATCACGTCAAATCAAAGAGGTTCACTTTTGGGAGCTTTTTAATTTCCAGAAGAAAGCTACAGGACCTAGCAGGGCTTAACATTACTTTTATTTTTCTAGTTATTATGAAGAAGTAAATAATAAACGTTATTAAATAATGAAGTTGTGTATAAACATAGGCCAGAGTCAGATGGAGATACTGCTCTAAATATCATCCAAGAAAGTCTTGTGTGTGGAAATTCTGACCTCACAGAAATCAAAACTCCTGTGGTCAGCTGTAGGATTAGGATTTCACTGCATATTACTGAGTTGATCAAAGGGTTTTTTGAGCTAGATTATCCTGTCAGTGCTTCAGAAAGGGACTTTATCCCCTTCTGTCTGAGAGGATAACTTGTGTTTGTTTGTTAATTTCAGTAATTCAGAAATAATATAAAGTGGGAGCAATTTATTGCTGAGGAAACAGAGGAAGACTGATATTTCTTTTTGCCCTTTTCCTTTTTTTTTAAGTTTCAACTCCTCTCATGAGTAGTGAGGGTCCAGTCAAACTGAAATCCCCAAAGAACCATATTTTGAAAGGTCAAACAAGCCCTGCTTAGGGGATGAACTGTGGGTGGCAAATTCTGGGCTGAGGCAGCTACAAGGGCAGACTGAGATCGGAACAGCCCAAGCTGTAGGAAGTGTGGTAAGATGCTGTCCTTTATCAGTGATGACATTAACAAATAACAGGCCTTGTGGTGCCTTTTAGGCCAGCTTGCCTTTCAAATGTGTCCTCCTGGCAAATCTGGTCATAGTCCACGGATATGCTTATGTGAAATCATATTCCCAAAACACAGAATGGGAACAGTATGCTCCCAGGGAGCAAAATCTCAGAAATATGGTTTATGGGGATATTGCCACACTCCTCTCAGTGGGCAGGTAAAGGCTGGGAATATTTTCTTCTGGAGGCAGTCTGGGATCCCATGGGACTGGTTCTTCTACTGCTGCCTAAAGACGCTCTCATTCTTTCCCTGCTAAGTATTCATTTTTCTCATGTTCATGATTTGAGAAAGAAAAACCCTATTTTGCTGTTTCCTGTAGGAAGCACACAGTACCATTCTTGGGGCACTGCTTTGTGGACACTCAGCGGAAATTTCTGTATTCTACCCCTTCTGTATAGTTCAGTGTTAAACACGTGTATGTGCTTTATTGGGCAAGTGATAAATGAATGGCTTTTTCCTTTTTCTGTTTTTTTTTTCTATTTTTTTTTTTGATCACTTTAACTGCTTTTAGGTTTAGTTTTCTTTCAACTAAATGCAAAATATAATCAACATATTCAAATAGTCACAAATACCAGATTTGGATCAACAGTGTAATTTTAGCTGAGAGCAGACCAGCAAAATGCTCTAAATCCAAATGTAGCTTTAGAGCTTCAGATGAGAAGGGTTGGCAGTTCCTGGGCCAAAAGCCCTTTCTACAGATGGAAAGATTTGTTGTGCAAACACAGTGCATCTCTTCATGGCTCTTTTTGGAAACAAGCTGGCTATCTGCAGTCCACTTGGAGCCCATGAATAAAAATAATTAAATATTATTCTGTTGCAGCATTAGGGAAATGCAGACAATTTATTGCATTTCTAAGACAATCTGGAAGCTGAGGTTCTGTAGGGGCCTTGTTTGCTAAACCCTGAGGCTGGTTAAAGCATTTGAGACTGTTTAAAAATGGGCTAAACCTGGGCCTTGAACTGCTATAAATTGCATAGACCTGTCTTTGACCCTCCTCACAATGGTCCAAATGGAGGAGTTCTGCAGAAGTCCTCTCTGCCCATGCTTTGCTGCCTCTCATATAAATGGCTTATTAGCATTCTGCTAAGCATTTGACCCCACGGTAATTTGGTCACCACTTGGGTGTCCAGCATGGTCCCATAAATGCTGCTGTTTCACTTACAGACAAATCAATATTTATTACTGATCAGCCCACGTTTGCTCCTCAGACCTTCACAGAGACCCAGTGTTGCAACAGCTTGCCCTGGCAATTCATTAATCACTGTGCAGACAGACAGTGAGTCTGGCAAATGGGCTGGAGGAGGATGTTGCAAACAAAATATGGGATAGAATCAGCCAGAGGGTAATTTGATTTGATCTTTTAAATAGTTTCTGGGAGGGCTGGGGACAGTCTCTTGGCACTCCACAGCTAGGCAGAAGACCCAGTAGCCCTTTTGCACCCTGGTCCCTGATGCAAGGGCTGTATGGACTTTATCCTGTGTTTGCCCAGAGTCTGTGCTCAGAATCTTTGATTTCCATAAGAGCTGAGAAGGCTCAGGGCTTTCCAAGACCTAACATAACATCAGTTATGGCGGTGCACGTAGCACTAAACATCCTTGGGATTTCCCTTTCACAATCTGCCACTTTCAGCCAGGTCTGCAAGCTCAGAGCTGCTTTCTTTTAGCTACTGCTGGTGTTTGGGTAGACAGGATCAGTAGATTTCTGCCGTGCAGGAGCTGCACGACAGGAAGATAAGGTGTTGCTCCTGTGTAGGTGGAAAACAAGTCACCCATCTCCATACCTGGAACTGATACCACATCAACCTGGAGTCAGTTTTTTGTAGTTTATTGTAAGCTCCACACAAAGTGCTTTGGCAATCTTGAGAAAAAAGTGTATTTAATGAAAGTAAGCCACTATTTTACATTCATTTTTTTCACTTGAAGTTTTAATGATTCAAACCCTGCCCCTGAGACCTTTCTGATTCAGACCAGCAAAATCCTGCAGACATCACTACCAAAATCCACCGCAGATTTCAGCCCCCTACCAATTTGTCTACACAGCCTGGACCCTTCAGTTCGTGGTGTGTCCCTGAGAAGAGTGGTTATTCACTCTAACACTGACAAATCCTTTGCTGTGGGAGTGCCATGCAGCTTTTTTCCCAGTGTCTAATCTAAAAACATTTACCAGTGTACCTCAGCCCAAGCTGATAGTGGGGAGTCTGAAGCACAGTGGAGCGAGTCCTCCACCATCACACAAAGCTCAGGGATAGAGCCAGGAGATAAACCCACATAAAAACCAGGCTCAGGATGGCTGCCTGTGCTCACCCTACACACGGTGTAAGTAGTGACCCCTCTCTAGGGATTGACCCCTCTCTAGGGATTGACCCCTCTCTAGGGATCAAACACACCTTTTTCTACTCCCCTGTCCGACTGGTTTAACTCAAGAGGTTGGAGGTGCAGGAAAGTTTCTAACGACAAGGCGAGAGAGTATTTCTTGAGCAACTAAGAGAACTAGCCGTGCATCCAGCAGCAAAGAAACGTATGTGGGGAAGATCTTCCTGAGTCTGCTGCTGCCATCTAGTGACTTGTTCAGGTCTGGTTTTTAGGGTAAAGCAGAAGGGTGCATCTTGGAGAGAGTGGACCAAATCCCACTTCTGCTGAGCGGGAGAAGGGAAAGCAGAGCTGGAGCACCGCTGAGCACCGTGACGGGTGTCCGCAGCCCGGGGAGCTCAGGTAGCCCAGGATCTTCCTGGCCAGCAGCCACCAGCTGCCTATTTTTCGTTGCCTGCCTGAAACAAATATGAAGGCTCCCAGGTGGGAGTGCTCATGGAGCCGGGCTGGCCCTGGGACAGGGGTCAGGGGCAGTGGGCACTCTGCATGGGGCTGAGCCAAAGTGTGACCTGTAAATGCTTTTGCTGCTTCGGCGCCTCTGTGCAGGTGACTTGTAGAAACCCAGTGCCACAAGTGCCCTCCACACCGTTGGGCTCAGCAGAAATCACAACTGAATAGTCCTGGAGACAGAGAGATCCTCTTATCACATAGGTGGTCCATCAGGTCTGGGATGAGCCCCATCAGCAAGTCACTGCAGGGAACTGATTCAGCAGCAGCTGGCTGAGGATTAGGTTCACTTGACACAACATACCAGATAAGATGGGGAGGTATCCTGAGTGACAGTGCTCCCAGCTAAGCAAAGAGCCACAGAAGGGAATGAGCTGTTTTCCAAGCTCTGGCTGAGCAAGCAAGGCCTATTTGTGCAAGAAAGTCACTAAATTAATTGCAAAAATTTTATTGATAGAGTCTGCCCCTTGTCTTGGATCAGAGGATCTTTGGGTCATGTTAGACTTTAAATATGTGTTACTGACTTGTACTCAGTGTGGGGAGCATGTGGGACATGATTCCATGGCCTGAGCATGGTGTACATCCTCAGATGGAGGTCTTGTGCCCTTTCCACAGAAAAAATAGAACTGGAAATGGTGCAGAGGGAAGTGATGAGAGTGCATGAGATACCCCACGGTTTCTGTGCCTAAAATACATAGGAAGAACCAGGAAAACGGAGAGTAGATGGAGGATCTGACAGAGAGAGATAAATTCCTAGGGGCCTGGAAAAGGTGAATGGCAATTAATAATGCTTATATGCAGGATCTAATTAACAACACTTGAAATAATCAAGTTTAAAAAAAAAGGGTAGTAATTTTTCATGTCACATGTAAAGAAATGATAGACCTAAGTGCTGCAGAGTTTCCTGGAGACAGATGTGTATTTGGGCTCAAAGAACAACTAATTGTATTTGTGAGAAGTTCGCCACAGTCTATTAAATTCAGGCTTGACAACTGACTCTGACTTGGACAGAAGAAAAGGGCAAAGATGCAGGCAGCTCGGATCAGAGGGCCAAAAATGTAAGAATGAGGCAACAGAAGGGAGACCCAAGCAAGCTGAACACAGCAGAGCTGGCAGCTCCCAAGATACGCGCAGTCGCCAGCGCTACCTAGTAGTGATACTACTGATGCACTTCCCAAAGCAATGACTGGGCAAGGGCCCACAGTTACTGTGCTCCCTCCACCACTGAGCTCTCCTGGCTCAGCATTGCAGAGGGATGGGGTGGCCAGGCCCAGTGGTGGCCTGGCTTGATATGCAACTGGATCATCTTGGAGGAGAAGGAAGAGAGGGCTGCAGCCTGGTAGAGCCACTGCACATGTGATGGACCTCTTTCTCTTAAGGGGATATGTGTCAGGAGTCTGCCTAGACCACTGGGTGAATGCACTCCTGGCTCTGGGAAGGAGGCTGGACCTGGGATAACTACTTTATGTACCTAAGAGGTGCAAAGAGCCTTTTGGTGTTGCAACTGCCATGAAAACACTTGACTTCCTCTTTTCTCTGTCTCAACACGCCACATCTGGAAATCCCTGTGATTCTTCTTTGTCCTTCACTTTATGTTCTTATTTAAGGGGAGGGTCCCATGGACATTACGTGCTGTGTAGTCAATGTGGTCCCTTTTCACATGCTGGCTGTGCCACAGGCAGCATGTATAGTGTATGAGTTACAAGGCAATAGAAGACAGACCAACAATGTTAATCAAGTGAATGCACTATTGTATAATGACTGTAGTAATACAGTGTTGATTTGGAGTATTACAGTACCATTTATCATTTTATTTCAGAATCCTTGTTCAAGAGAGGTCACCACGTGGGTCTTAGAAAGAGATTTTTAGAGCGTCAAATAATTCTGTACCCCTGTTGTGGGGTTTCTTGTTGTTCCTTTGAAGGGGGAAAAATCCTAGCTATTGTGAAAAATTCCTACATTTTGGTAAGCCAAGAGACCAGAAGTAATAAACAGAAAATCATAAACATTACAAGCCATCTCTGCACCAAGGGTTAGACACTCTTGATGTTCTGTATTCTTCCAACAGTGCAAAACAGCCACAAATTCAAGACAACTTGCACAGTTTGTTCTTACTTTCTACTAAAGGAAAAAGGATTGCTCCCCAAAGAATTTAGCCCCTTACATATATTTCTTTATGTTTATGGTGAATAAATGGAAAGATTAGAAGATGGTCCCAAAACAGATTATAAAGAAGCATACCAGTCTCTGTTTCATTTTTGTTTTTCAGTGCCATGGTTCCCAAGAAGCATCCAGGAGCTGGACAGGTTTGCCAATCAGATCCTAAGCTACGGAGCAGAACTGGATGCTGATCATCCTGTAAGAGCTTTATTTTTTTAAGTTTTTTTCCTAGTTATTGGGACAGATATTTCTCTCATTTACATTTGCTCTGCTTTAGTGCAGATCTAGTAGACTAAGTCTCACATGGTACAGGACAAGGGTGGTACCACATTTCTAGGGTTAGAATCAGCCTAATCACTGATTATGAAGTAAATCAAACAGAAAGTTGCTTTAATTGAGCAAATACCAGGAGACCCTAAAAGTCATCAGTGGTCATCAGAGCACAGGGCCACCAGAAGGGTCCATCTAGTTTTCCCAGATGAGTCTGGTGTGGTCACTTCAGACTCATTTTGTGTATCACAAACAAGAAAAATTTAAGAAGCAACGTATCATAGCCCAGAGATGGGAAGCCTGGTTTTTCATCCTTGATTACATACACGTGATTTAGTTTAGTGTCTTGTTATGCGGTTGTTAAATCTGATGTGGTACTTGTTTAGTGAGACACAACAAAAGAAAAGGTTCTTGGTTCAAAAAGTTTGTGGTTTAAATGGCAGCATCGGAAAGTTTTGTTCATTGATTTAGCTGATAAAAAAATTTGTTTTGTGGTTTTTCAGTTTTTTCAGATACAAGAATATTTTCTGCCTCTATTCCCTCTCCAAGCAAACAACAACTTGCTTTCATTGTCAAAACACACTGACTTCCATGCAGTGCACCAGAAATTGCTGCTATTAGTTTAATTGAGATAGGGTGATTACAAATAAATTACACGCAGCGCAACAAAAATTGCTGCTATTAGTTTTATTGAGATGGAGTGATTAGTCATTCACTACCTATTGCTTAATTCAAGATGTGTTATGTACCATGTACAATGATTCATGATGTTCAGTGTGGTCATATGAAAGGCAGAATGAAAGGAGGTACACTGAGCCAATGGCCCCCTTGTGTGTCATGTGGGAATAGACCAAGACTGTATTTGAAAAAAGAAAAATATATTAAAAGGAATGAAGCATCTTTCCTCCAGTTCCTAGAATTCGTTGGTGAGCACTTGTGCCTTAAAAAAGAAAGCCAGCTGCTGGGGTAAATAGGTGTGACAGTCCACAGAGTGCAGGAGAGAAATTAAAGAAGCCTGTGTTTTTAGTAGTTAAAGTGATATATGATATTTAATCACAGTGATCTCTATGAAAGGTTAATCTTGGCCATTGTCTGCCTCTTTTTTAATTCACACTCTGAGATTTACACTCTGCTTCAGCCGTCTTCTGTACTTGGTTGTGTTTCATGGCCTCTCAGTCCAGTTGTGCTGTTCCCCACTAAGAGACGCATTTATGAACGACCACAGTGCCCAGTGAGCTCTTCCCATTTGCCCTGTGGAAGTGCATCCTAGTGTGGGAGGATGTTTCCATACTCCAAGTGCTGAAGGCATTCCTAGCACTGAGGAACTTTTAGTCTAAAAAGCAGGCACACTGGGGTAGGAGAATGGTTATCCTAGATGAAGATTTAGAGGTTTTATTTCTTATCCTTGGTTTTATTGGTAATTAGTTGCAAAGGTCAAGCTCCCAACCACAAGGTCTATTAGGCATTCTTTGTAGTCATCAATTCCCTTCGAATGATTGAATTTGAAGTACAAATAGGGCTTTTTGGCCTGCTAAGTGCCTACTGTTCCTCTAGCAGTTTGAAAATGAACACTTTTAAGTGTGGTTCATGCTGAAAATCCGCCTAAAAATCTGATTGAGTTGATGAATGTGTTTCTAGTGTGTTTTGATTCTGCTCCTCTGGAGCAGCCCAGCTGTGCCAGGAACAGCAACAAGCTTCAAGAGAAACCAGAGGGGCATGGTTATCTGAGTGCTGTTAATTCTGTGTATTGCTCTTGCTGGGAGCACCTTGTTGTTGCTGTAAAGGAGCATGTTTCCCTATTTTGTAGCAAGCAGAAATGGGAAAATGAAAGGACCTGTGGGGCGAGAGGTGCTGTGAGACTGTGACTGAATGGCTGCTCTGGTGGCTCTGCAGACTGGGAAGGAGTGGTGCCCTTTGTGAGCAGAGCCTGGCAGAACGGAGGCAGCTTTCCCACTGTGCTTCCTGCACTTCTCAGACTACACCAGCCATACCTGAGGGTGCTCAGTGGGAGGAAGGCTGTTCACCATTTGCACTTACACATGGATTGACCGTCCCTGTTTCTCTTCAGGGGTTCAAAGATCCCGTGTACCGGGCCCGGAGGAAGGAGTTTGCAGATATCGCCTACAACTACAGACAGTGAGTACCCAGTGCATGGGCAAAAAGCAAACCCACATCTCTTGCCCTCTCCTAGGGTGCTCACCCTGCTGGCAATCCCTGTTTTTCCGTAAGAATCCTCCCAGTGTTGGCTTTTCTCTGCCATGTGTTTAAATCTTACTGTTCGTGCATTTATCCCCAAATCATGACAAAACCAAAGTAAATTGTTCCAGGCACATGTTCAGAAGAAAACATCACCTCCCTTCTTTCCCTCAACACCCCTCTTCCCTGGCTTTGTTGTCTAATTGAGCAGCAGACTCTGTTGCTACTACAAAGACCTGAGCATTGAATAAAGATGCTTCTGGTATTCTCCCCATTAAACCAGGTCTGGGAGAGGAGTGCCTATCATTAACATTAAAGCAGGAGCTGCATACACTATTAAAATAATTAATAACTTATGGTTCTGATGCTAATCCAGTGTCTGATACCCTACTTTTATCATGTCTGATCCAGCTGCAGTCAGCAATTTGGGCTCTCATTTCCCAAGAAAAATGAATGGACAGGTTAAATTCAGTTAGAACAGGCTTGGTTGATTGCTTTCAGTGATCAGATCTGGAGGAGAAAAAGTTCTATTCCCAGAGCCACTCGCACATATAAATTAGTATTACTAGGCCTGATTCTTGCTGGGACTGGTAAAAATTGTGGTTGCAAAGAAAAAATAACTTATATTTTACATTTAGGGCTCCATTTTGCACAGGATGAAAAGATAGCCCCTAAGCAAAAGAGCTAAAAATCCAATCACAAAATGAGAGACAAAACTGAAGTGATTCACAGAAAGTACAAGATATCAGGTAAAAAAAGTCAGGACCTCAGTTCCCAGCTAGGAAATTTGAATAAGACACTGTGTCCAGATATAAATGGTTCTAATGTGTGCTGATAGATATCTCACAAAAGATGTACCTTTCTTGCACAGTAGACAGCAAATTCTATTCTCCAGTTTGTAGGCTTTCACCAAATTGTACACTGAAATAAAGCAAAAAAGTTAACCACGCCTCCCTCCAAGATTTGAACTAAACCACTATGTTCCAAGATGTAACTTATTAATATT